GGCTTCGAAAGATTTAAAAGGGTTAGTCGGTGCAAATTTCATACCTTTATTAAGGACGGATATTTGGGTGGCGGATAAGATTTTGTTGGACAGATTAAAAATACCGTTGTAGGAAGTGTTTAAAGGGTTTACGGTCTGTCTAGCCTTTCTCTTTTGTGCTCTTCCGCCGCTGCGTTTACCTCTGGGCTTAAAATTCTTTTTTTTGTTCGTGGAGGGTAAGGTGTATTGGCTGTTAAATTTGGGTGGGTGCGAATCTCTAAAAAATGATCTTCGTTTTCTATTTCTGAGTCAAGTGACAGTAATTGGAAACGATTTGGGTGATTGGGAATAGTAGGTGATTGGGTGAAATTGGAATATTGTTGGTGACTATTTGCGTATTGGGGTCTTTGGGGTTTGGGTGAGTGTTCAGGTACATTGTAATAGTGGGGTGATCGTGGTGGTTTATATGAAGTTTTGCGATATCTTTGGGGTGCTGGTAAGTGTTGGGGAGGGTGAGAGTAGGATGGCTTGGAGGTAGGTTGGTGGTGGTAGTGGTTAGTTCTATAAGTGTGTGGTTTGAAGGGAGACCGGTAGGGGGTCTGTGTCCTTGGTAGTGGTGTTGTGGTGGTCGGTATGAGGGTTTGGGTGCAATTTGTTGGTGATGAGATCTGTCATATTTGTATGGTTCAGAGGAGTATTCAATGTGAGGAGGGTTGTCAGAAATGTATTTTTTGTTTAAGTGATATGTCCTCACTTGTTTGTTTGCGTAGTCGTGTTTGTCTCTAATATATTTCTTGATTTTGAGGTGTTTGGTGTCCATTTCTATTTTTTTCTATTTTGCTTTGAATAAGGATAGAGTTTTGTCTGTATACACGTGTATCCATAAATGGCATTAGTTTCTCTTTTAAGTCATTAATTTCTATGTCTAGTAGTGACAATTTTTTACTTTTTTTAGTGACTAGAGTTTCCATGAGTCCGAATGTGCATAGTTCAAGTATACTGTACCACTCGTCCATGAATTCTAAGTCATCTTGATCTGAGGCAGGGAGTTTGAGCAATCTTAAGCCTCGGGGAGTGATTTGCTCTTCTATGTATTTTTTCATGGTGGCTATTTCCCATTTTAGTTTAATTTCAGATGTTAATGCTTTTTCTAATTTTATGAAAAGTTCTTGTTGGTTTAAGGTGTGGTGTCTGATGGGTACAGGGCTAATGGGTCTTGTAGGTTCAGAATCAAATACATTGTTAACATCAATAACATAATTATTCCTAAAGTCAAAGATGGACATAATTGAGGAGAACAAGCAGCTAAACAACTTTTGTTTTTACCTATTCCTGGCATTTTAACCTTTCCTGGTTACTTTTACTTCCATTGGCAATTTTAAAGTTCCAGTACTCCAAGAAATCCTAGGTGGGGATCATACCACCGGCGCCTATCCATAGAGCAGTACCTCTGCTCTATCTTTGTGAGTATTATTTTATTTTTTCTACTACTCTCTTAACCTATCACAATTGAGAGCACTATTGCTGCTTTTTATTCTTCTATATTGGAGCCTTGGATCACCAGACGGTGCTGACGGACGTATCGACGCTACATATCCTATAAGCGGGGATTATACCGCTGTACGCTATCCACACCAGAGCTGGCCATAGCTCCCTCAAATGTGAGTTTTT